AGTGTAGGCAGTCTAGGGGGGTGGGGGTGGGGGCAGTCACTTGACATGCGTGAAAAGCTGGAATGTTCGAGTTTACACTGTCTCGCTCGAGAGAGCCCAGGTGAGCAGACTGCCGCGCCGCCGCGTGGCCCCCCCAACTAAGTTAGCATCAATTTCACCGCCGAATTATGTACGGAGTTGCATCGTACGACGACATCTCGATTGACGACAGACGAAAACGACGAAAACGAAAATTACTTTGCGATTTTCACTAGTTGACAAAGGCAAAGCGTGCGCTTAGCGTTCGCTGTTGTGTTGTGACATAGAATTGATCGAGTAGCTTTTAATCGTGATCTTCATTTTGATACTTGAGCTTTGTGGGAATTGTGTCTGACACTCTTTCCATTCATGTTTTTGTCTCACAAAATCTTTCTGACTTCTCTTTCTAGTTTAACTGACAAATGTTCAGAAAGGATTGCGTTTACGCGAGAGTGGAGCGGTTGTTGTATTCCGTGTCTTTTTTTATTTTATTTCAGGCCTTTAGAATGGACGAAAATGTAAAACAGAATCAAGGCACGTCCGCACAACCATCTTCGGAGAAGCCCGGGCCCTCTAAAAAGGAGGACGACAATGCAAGGTATGTCATTCTTAAGGCTGATGTCCGCGATCCTTTGCGCGATTTTCGCGATTTGCGCGATTTTCGCGATTTTCGCGATTTGCGCGACGGGTCACGGAAATCACAAGTGCCCCATCAATACTGCAAGGTGTTCTCCAATCCCGCCGTCACTTCTGCTTGATGGTTATGGTTTAATGGAGACTGCTCATGATTCCACTTGTTTCATATCCAGTGTTTCAATTGTTCAAATGGGGCACTTGCAATTTTTGTGATTGGTTTGGTTTGATTCCTGAAAAAAAAATAGGAACGATTCAAGAGCATTTCAATGAACTAATAGACATTGAACATGAAACAAGTAGAACCACAAACATTCGTCTTCCAATCTTTACTGCCAAGCAGAATTCGCAGCAGGATTAAACAACACCTCGCAGTATTCATCGGGCACTTCCAACTCCTGTGATCCATCGCAGGTTTCGCGCAAATCGCGAAAATCGCGAAGAGCGGATCGTCTTACATAGTTGTCTAGTTGCCTTAGCTTATTTAAAATTCACGAAGTTCTCATTTGAATGTAACTGCCATTTTTTTTGCCTTCGTTACATGACTACTGCCGTTCAGTCACGGACGGTGGTGAATCGATATCAATTGTGTCAGCTGGAATAACTTGATTGGATTCCAAAATTCTAAAGCGAAGCATAGATGAGAGCGGAGAGCTCTCTGGAATTGTTATCAGCTGATTAGAGATGGGGCCGTAGTTAAAAGCGTTCCTCCTAGCACTAGCAGCTATACGTGGAGATGAGGCCTAGGAATTGTCCATGTACATTATAACTGCCCATTGATAATGAAATGGCAAAAAAAAACCGTCAAGAATTAGTGAAATGATGTCCTTGTTTGAGCAGATTTTTTTGAAGCTTTCACTATAACATGCCAGTAGCTAGTTGCGCCGAGGACATCCGACAACACTCAAGGCCGATGTCAGACTTTGCGAATCGCGCTTTCGCTAGCGTCTGCGGTCGCGTCGCGGCCAGTGAATCACTCAATTGGCTGGTACCGCAACGCGACCGCGGACGCTAGCGAATCGCGCGATTCGCAAAGTCTGACATCGGCCTCAAGCTCCAGGTAAGATGCCCGTCAGACTCGGCGATGGGGCGATCGCTCCGCTACCGCGATCGGCTATCGCTTGGCCGTCGCTTGGCAGTCACTCTACTGTCGCGATGGCAGCTCAAGATTCGTCAGATGTCCTGTATGCTGGTAGTCTGAGCCTCTATAATGTCATCTACCTCAGTCCCATGCACTATTTTTAAGGAAATGTTCCTATCAAGAAAGGGGTAATTCTCCACGTAAGCAGGATCTATTCTATGAAATTGAGTACACTTCAAACAGCTTTATCTCGATAATTTTCTCATCATTTGAGACTTTTCTACCCTCATTCCTCAAAATTTCAGGCGAAAGATTGGTTTTTTTTACAAGTGTTCGAAACGGGCCTTGGTCTATGGTTAGTTGAATTGCAGATTTGAGTGCAATATTTGCTTGGATACGGCTAAGGATGCTGTGGTTTCCATGTGTGGCCATTTGTTTTGCTGGCCTTGTCTCGTACAGTGGCTGGACACGAGGCCAAATCGCCAACTTTGTCCTGTTTGCAAAGCTGCCATAAGTAAAGATAAGGTCTGGTTTTGTTTCAGACATTCATTGCTTTTGTTCGTCCGCAAGCATTACTTGCATTTCATTTTAATGGCGTCTGGTCTTCTGCCATAGCACAGTTCATATTTAAACATATAATCACTTAAAGGTTATCCCGCTCTATGGTCGAGGAGGTGACAATACTGATCCACGTGAGAAAATGCCTCCCCGCCCGAGAGGTCAACGAACAGAAGCGCCACAAGTAAGTATTTTTGATCAGTTGAGTTAAATTTTTCGGGTGGTTTTCACCATCATTCTCACTTTGCATTGGGATCGAAGGGGTTATTGACTCAAGAATTACCATTATCACAAGCATAACAAGAGAACATCGAGAGAACATGTCTCATAGTGAATCTGTAGCAGTGAATTGTTTGATCGTGATTTTTTTCTAATGTTTTCAAAGTTGCGCATGTTTCAAACCTCCAGTTGCGTTTGTACCCAGGCGGGCCACAGGTCGCAAGAGATGGTGAATTAATCCGTAGTTTTTTTTTCATTTTTTTCCTCACAACATCCACTCTGATTGAAAACCCGATGTAAAGCAAAAGAAGTGTCCGTTACTACAAAATTTACAGATTTTGCTTGCCTAGTGACCGAAAAGTTGGTTACATTTGTAGATGTCGCCTCTTAGAATGAGAACACTGATAACAATGATGAGGTAATAATAACTCCCTTTCCTTTTCACTTCCAGTGGACTCCGTACCTCCACCTTCATATTAAGCGCACCTACACATCAAATTTATTCTAGAGCTTGCCTTGAATTAAATTATGACAGTTCCGTTAGCAGATATTTCTTGTACTAAAACCTCAAGGGTGCAAAACCTTTCCCTTTGTTCACGTTGTACTATTTTTTTGTCGTTTAGATGAACTTTATATTTGACTGTTCTCCCAGAATAGCAAGGTTGTATTTGACCCTGGAAACGTAAACTTTATTTCAGCAGGGTTTTCCTGGATTCCAATGGGGCGATGGAGGACCGGGAGGTGGTGTACAGTTTTCTTTAGGAATTGGTGAGTGGAGAACGTTTTTTTTTTCACGAATTTCATTTCAAATTACCACTTTTGGCAAAGTAGTGTTCTGAGGTTTTTGCTAATATCGCGCAGTGCATGTTTCTAAGGCCGATGTCAGACTTTGCGAATCGCGCGATTCGCAAAGTCTAACATCGGCCTAACAAATGCACTGCGTGAAAATGTGGTAGCATAAAGCTTAGCACTGCTAGACAGTCATTGTCTGCCTGCCGTTTACTGTGTTACCAGTGTAAGCGTGAAATCAATACAAATTGTGCATGTTGCTGTATTTCTTCAATTTTTGAATGGTTAAGGCGTTTTCCCTTTGTCTTTCTTCACAACCTGGTTCAATGCACCACAAGATCCACGTCCAGCTGCACCTCAACAGGGTTCTCGCCAATATCAAGAAGAGCAGTTTCTTTCTAACGTGTTTCTATACCTTGGTGTTTTCTTCGTTTTATGGCTTGTATTCGTTTAAAGACATTACTACATAAGTAATTCACTCCGTCATTCCATCAGTAGATTTCCATGTTCAAAAATATTCACTAAATTCCATTGTTTGACATCTTACACATGTGCACTGGTCTCTATCGGGTATTCATGTTTTGAATATCTTCAGCCAGCGCAGTTCTTCTTCCTGTTCCATCCAGCGACCGAGCAAGATGTGGCGTGTGCATTCAGTTTCCTAATCCTTCGAATCTGTGTGATGTACTAAAGGTAACCCGTGTGCCTATGAATATCTATGTCAATCACAAATGTAAAACTTCTTTCTTTTGTAGCTTTCAACTCTATTAGAACACCTATGACATTATTTCTAGTAACCTTATTTGTAAAATAGATTTTTACTGTAGCCGAAATTGTTTAAAATGAATCCTTTCTGTCATCTTATTAGGGCGTCCCAGAATTTTTGAGAATATTTAAGCCTTGTTAAATTTATCCAACTATAACCAAGAGTAATTCCAATCAGTGATATATTGACCATTAGCTCGGCCAACGCGTTTATCGATCATTGCTAGACGGACCAATCTAGCTGCGAAAAACAAAAATCGTTTTCGTCCTAGCAAATCACATCTATCTTCTTCAGAATTTGAATCTGGATTAGTTTTTGCACTTATGTCGGTGCTGTAGACGCAATTCCGCCATTTCCAATATCATGGTAGCAAACAGAGACTCCATTATGGTGTTTGGTCGACGTTAACTAGACCCTGGGCTTGATATGAATTTCGGAGGCAGCCCGCTCAGTATCCACACATACGATCTGATTGATCCGTTTGAAAATACCGCTGTGAGAGCAGGAGAAATACATCCCCACAAGACTTTCCGCTCTTCAGGTATCAAGGATTGGAGAACTACTAAAGCAACTCTGAGGCCTACCTGCTTGCTTTGATGATATAATCTTCGTGGATTTGGGCCCCGCTGCGTGCAAGTTCCCGCATGCTTGCGCCCTGATTGCACGCGCCCAGTGATTGAAGTACCTGGAAGGCATTCCTCGTCCAGAGCGATACTTCTTCCGGATTAGTTTCCTTCTGCAAATTTTGCGTGCTAACAAAAGCATGTAGAACTGGATGGGACATCATTGCCATACAGGAGGCGCATCCTACTGAAATGCCAGATTTGATGCAAATAAGGTCAGACAGCTAGTCTCATAACATAATGTTTGAATGGTCGTCGTTTTTCTTCAAAGGATGAGCCATCGTGAGGCCGATGTCAGACTTTGCGAATCGAGCGATTCGCTAGCGTCTGCGGTCGCGTCGCGGCCAGTGAATCACTCAATTGGCTGGTACCGCAACGCGACCGCGGACGCTAGCGAATCGCTCGCAAAGTCTGACATCGTATTAATGCCAGTAGAGCACATAATTGCGCAACCATTTTCGGATGGAATTCACATTCACACTCACACAACCTCGTCAGCAAATTGTATGATGGGTCTGGAAAACTCCGAGACACCCTAACGTAATGGCGAATTTGTGCGATATCTAATGCTAGCAGCACTTCCGTTTGGGAGGAAAGACCACCACTTCTGATGGTGAGGCATAGAATTCAGAGTATAGTTTTCTTTTGGGCATCTTTAAATGCCTTCGCGCTTTTACTTTGCAGCTAAATTTTTTCACTTTCTTTTGGAAAACTGAAAAGGAAGCATATTGGATGTGTTTTGACGTACACCTTCAGACTTTTGCTACATTACTTACTACCACACTCTTTCTGGCAGGAGCAATTGAAAACTGTTTCTTCCATGTGAATGAAATAAATACATCACTAGCAATATACTTTATAAACAATATAAAACCAAATTACACACGATATAACCTATTCAAACCCGAAAGACAGGAATGCGTTTGGCACCAAACGGGTTACTTTTACAAAGTTACTTCCCCATTACAAAATAAACAACAACACCTACTACCGCAACAATAACTGAAAGAGCTATCAGAAGGGTACATATCGAGCCAATATCATCCTCTTTCGATCTGAAATTGGCGATAGGTGTGTCATCAAGTGGAGCACGTACCGTCTCCATCTCTTCTATCTCCAAACTTCGCTCCCAGCCTTCGTCAATGTGTTCTGAAAAAAGGAACCGATCAAGTCAAAGCTGCACTCTAACTTTCCGATAATCTTAGGTCAGGCGAAGATTAGAGGTGCCTGCTGCCGCCTTGACATAACTGTCATATACCAGTACGTCCCGTTGCCCTACATGTAATGGACAACGAGAATCAACGTTTTAAGTGAGCGTGCCTAAGGCAGAGTTTCAGTAAAGGTTCACCTTTACTAGCAAATTAATGTTTATGGATTGCTATTTGTTTGCCACAAAAAACGTTATTGTTTTACCTCGAGCACCTCACTGAATAGCTAACGTTCCTTTTGAAGCAACAGACCCAGCAGGGTTTTTATCTTCGACACCAATGGTATGGAACGATGCGCCAGCCCTAGTCAAGAACATAAAAATTCGAAGTGGGCGTGGTTAACAATCGGCTGCAATACCCCACCCGATTCGATTACCACGCCCACTTCGAAGCTGTTCAGCTCCCTTTCTAGCGGCTTTCCAAGGTGAGTTTTTTGTTCAGTCACTTTTTATGTTCTTGACTAGGGCTAGCGCATCGTTCCATACCATTAGATGTCGAAGATAAAAACCCTTTTTGGCAGAGTAGGGAGAAAAGTGACTTCACGATACACAAACAGATAGTTTAACCTACTTTATGAACGGATCCTGTCTGATGCGCTCGCTTCAAATCAAACACGAGATGGCGTATTTATTTCTTTTCACCCCTTCATCGAACCCACAGATGTTTATCGTCGACATATGCCAATGCACATGCACGTGGTCAGCAGAGAACGGCTCCTAGTATGTTGCTTGCGCCAATATGACACCCACCCGTTCGGGGCAAAGTGCAACAGATACTTTTCAAGTATATCAACGCATCAGCACGGAAAGTGTCAATCGGCAGAGTAATGCTTGAATAGGTTCGAAAGTGGGCGAAGAAACTCACCTATGCTGGTTTTGAGTCCTAG